AAACACATTTTACCACAGAATTGTAAACCATTGGATACATTTTGGTGGTTTGTTATTGAGTTACTGTATATGTTTGAGACTATGGGGAAGTCAAATGTACAATTAAGAAACTTTCTCAGAGCTTTTTGTCTCATTTTAAACACCAAAATGTAAAACATAATAATATTATTATTATTGCAAAAAACATAACGATTTTTTCAAAACTCCAACGGGAACTATAATTGAATTTCCATGTTTAAAAGACATATAATTGAAACAGTATGATCCTATATTCAAAATGCATTCTGCAAAATAACAGTAAATTGGTTAAAAGAGCGATATTTTTTCCTAATATGTCCTGGCATCAGTAGATACACAATGCTGTCTTTAAATATACTCCTGGCAACCTGCAGCTGCATATGATCGAATGAGCTATTGGCTGATTGGATCAAATTATTGATTGGCCCATTATATAAAGGAGATTTAATTGGCTGATTGGGATCAAGTGGTTTCACTGGCTGATTGGAACGAGTCATTTGATTGGCCTGTGGGTTTCCAGTCACTCAGTGGTGTTTTAAGTTGTCCTCTCTGGACTCTCTCTGTCCTCTCACATCTCGGCAGGCTCGTCAGTCCCCTCCTGCTCCCTGGCTAAATGACGCACTGCGTGCTATTATAACCATCCTCCGGGCAAGCTGAGCGGAAATGGTTGAAGTCCAAACACCCTGACAACCTCCTAACCTATCAAGCTCTCCTCTCCTCTTTCTCTTCTTCGATGCTCTCAGGCAAAAAGCACTTTCTTTCAAGATAAGATCCATTCTTCCCTATTCCAATCCCAAAAAACTATTCTCTATCTTCTCCACCCTCCTTGACCCCCGCCCAGAGGCCCCTTCCCCCCCTTCTTCCAAGCGACTTCGTTAACTACTTTGAAAAAAAGGTTGATGATATTCGCGCTTCATTTTCCAACTCACCATTACTCACTCCACTGGCTCACCAGACCCCCTTTCACCCACACACTGACCTCCTTTGCCCCTCTCTCTCCAAGTGAGGTTCTTTACCCTCATTACCTCTGACGTACCACCTGTCCTCTGGACCCTATCCCCTCAAACCTCCTTCAGACTATCGCTCCTGATATTCTATCTACCGTTTCTTCTCACCCATCTCATCAACACTTCTCTAACTTCTGGTCACTTTCCAAACAGTCTCAAGGAGGCAAGAGTAAACCCTCTCCTAAAGAAACCCACTCTCAACCCGTCTGATGTTATAAACTACAGGCCTGTCTCTCTCCTCCCGTTCCTGTCTAAACACTTGAACGCGCTGTCTTTAAACAACTCTCCTGTTATCTCCATCAGAACAACCTTCTTGATCCGCACCAGTCTGGTTTCAAGGCAGGTCACTCAACAGAAACTGCTCTCCTTGCTGTCTCTGAGGAACTGCACACGGCTAAAGCAGCCTCCCTCTCCTCTGTCATCATCCTTCTGGACCTGTCTGCTGCATTCGACACGGTGAAACCATCAGATCCTCCTTCGCACTCTCCAAAAAACCTTGGAGTTTTCAGGCTCTGCACTTTCCCTCCTCACCTCATACCTCGAAGACCCGCACCTACAGGGTAACTTGGAGAGGGTCCGAGTCCGACCCTTGTCAATTATCTACAGGGGTCCCTCAGGGGCTCTGTCCTCGGTCCTCTCCTCTTCACTCTGTACAAAAAAAACCCTAACCCTTTTTCTTCCGGGAAAAATCTTGTCCGCACTGCTTGACCTAACAATCACATCGGCCCCTCTGTTGTGTCCCCGACTCAGACTGCAAGGAATCTGGGTGGGGACCCTAGATAACAACCTGTCCTTCAACATGCAAACATCGCTGCTGCAGATACACGCTTTACAACATCAGGAGGATACGTCCCCTCCTGACCCAGAAAGCGACGCAGGTTCTGGTCCAGCTCTCGTCATCTCACGCCTAGACTACTGCAAGTCCCTCCTGGCTGGTCTACCTGCATGTGCCATCCGAGCCTCTGCAGCTCATCCAGAATGCAGCGGCTCGTCTGGTCTTCAACCTTCCAAAATGTTCCACACACCACACCGCTCCTCCGCTCCCTTCACTGCTTCCAGTGAACTGCTAGAATCCACTTCAAGACACTGGTACTTGCGTACCATGCTGTGAATGGATCTGGCCCTTCCTACATCCAGGACATGGTTAAACCGTACACCCCAGCACGTGCACTCCGCTCTGCATCAGCCAAACGGATAGCTGCACCCTCACTGCGAGGGGGACCCAAGTTCCCATCAGCAAAAACACGTCGGTTTGCTATACTGGCTCCAAAATGGTTGAATGAGCTCCCCATTGACATCAGGACAGCAGAAAGCTTACATATCTTCCGGCGCAGACTGAAAACTTATCTCTTTCGACTCCACTTCGAGCAATAAAATGAAAAACAGAAAACAAAACAAAATAAAAAGCACTTATATACTAACAAAGGACTGGCTTATCTACAGTAAAGCCAGTTGAGTAGCACTTAAAATGGTTTGGCTCTATGAAACCTGATGTACTTATATGATTCTGTTTTCTTCAAGTTTGTATCTTCTTGGTCGAATGCACTTATTGTAAGTCGCTTAGGATAAAAGCGTCAGCTAAATGAAATGTAATGTAATGTTATTTTAAATGGTGGGAAAACATTTGGACTGAAAATTCAGAACTTACCTGTTCTAGTGGTGCAGGTTGGAATCGGCCCCTTTGCTGCATCTCATCTCCTCCCTGTTGATCCTCGGCTATACTAAAGACAAAAATAATGTAAAATTATAGAATTGTAGAATAGTGATAAATACTAGCAGCAACCAAGATTTTACGATTCTGAATTACTTTCATTTCAAAATGACTGCTGCAGCAGGTGCTTTGATCCATGATATTTCTCTGTTGACATTGAGGTTTCTGCCAATATTTGCACAGTGTTTCATTGGTCGAATAATACGCAGGTTTTACAATTAACCTTTAGCTGTTCTCAAACACAACCTGTGGTTTGCAAAACTGTTGCACTTGACTTATGTCTTTGTCACTTCTCGTGGATTCATCTTCTTATTATAGACACATGCATTCCAAACATTTGGTCTACCTATGCTGTAAAATGTATTATCTCTGATTTTTCACACGGCATCTATTGCACGTCTGTCCGTCCTGGGAGAGGGATCCCTCCTCTGTTGCTCTCCCTGAGGTTTCTCCCATGTTCCTCTTTAGGCAAGGCAAGTTTATTTATATAGCACCTTTCAACACAAGGCAATTCAAAGTGCTTTACAAAAAACCAAAGACATTAAGAAAATGGCATTTAAAATCAGTCATTAAAAAGAAAAGATAATAAAATAAATATTAAAAGAAAAAATACAAGTTAAAAGTTACAGTGCAGTTTACGATGTGAATAGTTCAATTAAAAGCAGCGGCAAAAAGCAAAGTCTTCAGCCTGGATTTAAAAGTAGTCAGAGTTGCAGCGGACCTGCAGGTTTCTGGGAGTTTGTTCCAGATATTTGGAGCATAATAACTGAACGCTGCTTCTCCATGTTTAGTTCTGACTCTGGGGACAGAAAGCTGACCAGTCCCTGAAGACCTGAGAGATCTGGATGGTTCATAATTTAGCAGGAGGTCAGAAATGTATTTTGGGCCTAAACCATTCAAAGCTTTATAAACCAGCAGCAGTATTTTGAAATTTACTCTTTGAACTGTGGGTTTTCTCTGGAAGTTTTTCCTTGTACGATGTGAGGGTCTAAGGACAGAGGGTGTCGTATTGTCATACTGATATTCTGTACAAACTGTGAAGACCACTGAGACAAATGTAACATTTGTGATATTGGGCTATATAAATAAACATTGATTGATTGACTTCTCAAACAAAAAGCACTTTTAAAAAGGCCGTATTATGCTTTTTGGGGTTTTCCCTTTTATTTCTTGTAGTGTGTTATGTAGGTTTCTGTGCATGTTAATGGTCTGCAAAAGCTCCTTAAATCCCAAAGTTCCCTCCAAAGGGAGTTTCTCTCGCACACACTCTTTCCCCTGCCTGAAAAGCCTCCATTGGACTCCTTTGTTTACTTGTGAGACATAGTGACATCACTATGCGCTTCTATTGGCTAGCGCTCCAACACTTTTTATGTGATAGGCAAGGGGAGGGACATCTCTAAGCGGTTAACCAATCACAACAGAGCCGGTCAGCTAACCAATCAGAGCAGACGAGTGAAAAGAGGTGCTGCAGCACAGGCAGTATGAGAAAAATAAAGAGCTTTGTGAACATTAAAGCATGTCATCAGGTCACAGAGGCACTCATACAATAATAATAATAATACTAATGTGTATGATGTGAAGGGAAGTTTAACTTGACCAAAAACAGTCCATTATTCCGTAGTGTGTGGCTCCCTTCATGGTGTCCACCAACATGACGAACAACAGGACAGCCAACTGCTTCGTGAGGAGTTCCTCAGGGTTTGTCCGCGAGGCCCTGAACACTGTGGGTCTCTCCAGCTTCACCAGTGGCTCTCTGTCCCACGCTCTCCAGGTCAGAGGAACGAGAGGCTGTGATCACTTACCAACCGTCAGCTGCTGCGATATCTTATAACATCATGTTTTCCCCTCTTTCCCATCACCTTACAGAACATTGCTCTCACAATACTGCTGCCAGACTGGTTTCGTATGTTAACGTTCATCAGAAATCTACGAATAAAGCAGAAGCCGACAAATATTATAAAAGAGTATGCAAGGATACGCTTGTTGAAAAGGAGGATTAGTCATGTGACTGCATCTGCACTTAAGCTACATTTTTGACTGACGTTTGATAGCTACATTTAGGCTATTATGGTACTGTACATGAGGTTTACTACAAGTCTACTATTCTGTAATAATTAGCCTGAATTATACATGCACATTCTCTTTTGTGTATTTATGTATCTTCAATTATTGCATCAAGTTTTTACACATCTGTATACATTACTTCAATCTCAATTCTTAGATTAGTATTTATCTTATTAAACATGACAGACGTTAGGACACAATCAGTTTGTATTGCATTAAAGCAATCTTTTAAATACATATTTTCTGATAGGATTTTACAGTATGACAGTGACAGTGATACACAGTACATTTTGCATATATTTACCACAATGACAACCAGCAGTGTAATTTGCACATCTAATAATGACTGTTACAGTTTACATGACTCTTTATGCTTTGTCTCAACATTGAAATGGGCGGATGGCACAAAACAAAACAATAAAGGTTTAACTTTTCATTCTGTGATTTGTGAATGGGTGATAATGCATTTTGTGTGTGAAAATGTAACCCGTTGCTTTGGTTTAGATTTGGTTGGTATCATTGTTGGTCCCAAACTTAACGAGTAACACAGACTCACCATCAGTGTAATCCCTTTTTTGCATCATGAAGCACAAAATCCCAGTTTATTTTTCAAGTACGCACGCACACACAACAGCAAGAAATGCTGTTTATAATTCTGAGGTCAAATGTACAAAACAGTTCCCTTCTGACGGCTAGAGATTTCCACATAATACCATTATTAAATTAAACTAAAAACCAAAACCAAAAAAGGAATCACTTGGTCCAGCAACCAGCAGAAATGTCAGAAATGAAAAGAAAGCATAAAAAAGAAGATTTAAAAAAACAAATGACTATGCGTTAACAAAATACTTTTAAGAAACTGAACCAGGTAAATATGTCTCCCCAACTTGTAATCACAATATCATAATTTCCTCCCTGAAATGTTATATATATAAATATGAAATCCTAGACAACCCGTATTCATCAAAACAAATTGAGTTTTTTTCCAAAGAGTCAGACACATTTTTTATTTCCGCCTAAGATAATATAATGCAGACAATAGGTTATATCCACATAAATCACGCCCATAAAGTAAGTATTTCCTCCATTTCATGGCTTGATCACCAATCCATTTCAAGTATATTTAACTTTAACTATTTGAATGCAACTCCTCAAGGGGCGTAATAAAGAAATGCACTTGACTGTTGACCTTTTGTACGCTTGAGTAGCAACAGAAAAAGCTGCAGTAAGTGGACGTATAGTAACGGTTACAAACAGTGCATTATGTGTAAATAGGGCCAGAGTTTAAACGTACATAGATAAGCCTCTGCTGCACTTACAATATCAATAAACACTGAGCTCATGCTCACAGATCAGTGGATGTGACAGGGGTGACGCCGTGAATCAGAAGCGTTGGCCCCAAACTATTGGTTACTGCTTCCACCTGAGCCAGGTACTGTCGATTCTGGCTGCGCTGCGGAGAGGGTCGAGGTAAATACAGGAAGCGAACAGCGGCCTGCGAGCTGTGCTCCATCAACATACTGTTCACTGCGGACAGGAAGTCCTCGGACAGAGCTTGTTTAGCCTCCTCCTCTTCGGGTTGGAGGTGATGCTGAACCACAGAGTCCCACGGCACGATCTTTATCGACGCCCTGATCCTCAGCTTCCTCAGCAGCTCTCTAAACGTCTCTTCGTTCACCACCCAGCCCTGGTCGCTGGACTCAGTCTCCACATTCAGGAAGATCCTCATCCTCGCGTGGCGCCACTTGTTGGACATGTTGAGCACGCAGGCCATCTGCAGCAGGAAGAGGCTGCACACGTCCTCGTAGTCTCGGCTGCCCGGCTGCAGAAGGTTGAGCGGCCACACATCGATCGTCCGCTCCGACCCATCCACTTTACTGTCCTTATCCTCACCCTCCAACTGGAAGAAATAGCGCCCGACACACACATTCTTGTTCATTTTAATGGCGTCTGAAATGATCCCCACATACTCCTCTGGGGACAGCCAGCGGGGGCTCTCCACATGTCGGACCGGGGGAAAATGGGCCTGTAACGACGGCAAATCTACCCCGAAATTATATTCGCCCTCACTCCCTAGTTCCATAGAAGCGTCACAGAAAGCAGAGTCTTGGAGGAAGAAGTCTTCAGGAGTGCAGCTGTCATAGAAACCCAAAATCAGGGTGTTGGGTTTCATGCCACCTTGTAGAGGGAAAGAGAAGTACAGTTAGTGTTGTGATGTCGTTTAAAGACCTACTTGTTCTCCCGTGCTTTTGCATACCACGTATAAGACTTATCAGTCTGTGTTTTCTAAATTGGGGTTTTCTATTTTGTCGTGTTTTAAAATGTTTTTACATCGTGTATGACAGTTTTTCAGTCTGTGGCTACAAGTATGGTTTTATGGACTGAATTTGGGAACAGAGATGAACGCAATAAACCGTATTTAATTTAGTCTTAATCTACATTATTTAATTTCATATTCAGTTCTTGTACATATCATATTCTATTGATATGTATGTAGACTTTTTGCACTACTTTGAATTTTATTATATATGTTGCATCGTTGGAGGAGCTCAGGTCAGAAGAATTTCATTGCCATTTCTACAATGTAGCTTTGTGCATATGACAATAAAACCTTTGAATTTTGAATTTTTGAGATGAGGAGAGGAAGGAGAGTTTACCGAGGCCGGTGATGCGCAGCAGGTGCTGAGTCCCCTGTCTGACGGAGAGAGACAGCGTCAGATCTACGAAGGCCTTCACCCCGAGTTTATCAACCAGACGCAGCCAGAAGTTATACTGCTGCTGCACCGGGTCTGAAGGCAAGGAGTCTGTAACGCAGGAAAGAAATCAGATGCAATACTACTTCAAATTCAGTTTTTTTCCACCAGAATTGTAAAGAAAAGGTTATTTATACTTTAGGAAAAACATTAAAATAATCAATTCAAAGTAAAAATCCTGCATATAATCTAATTTAAGATCATAAATCATAATTATATCATTAATATATATATAATATTCATCACAAGACTAATTGTTAATAGAGATGCAAGTAGGATCTTACTGTTGTAGATGGTTGAGGTAGATTTGATCAGTTTAGTCTAGTTGAACTAATTTAACATTTCAAAAAGGTAATTTAATTAGTTATTTTGAAACACCATTCAAATAAAAAATATATATTACAAACTATTGTGAGCACTTAAAGAGTTTAGCCCATTTAAAACTAATGCACCAATAATTACAATGGTTCAAATATGGTTTATTGCACTTGTGGTAAGACTCTCTGGATAAAAGTGTCAGCTAAATTAAATGCAATGTCATTAATTGATTTACATATTTGATAATGCAACCAGTCCCAAGCCAAAAAGGTCCGGTTCGAGTAGCAAAAATTAACTAAATGTTTTTTTTGTATTGTTCATAGACTTTGCAATGTACCCTAGTGTACACCAGGGGGCAGAAAAACAGGTAAACTGTGAGTTAATGCATGAATAAAATAATACATCAGCTCTGCTCTCTAAAATATGTTGGTTCTGTTACACATTATATCGTTTTTTACAGTTGGAGTGTGCCATTTAGCAAATATAAGCAAGTAGCTGGACATGTGGCTGCTTTAAACTCTGATGTAACATTGATACGGAGGATACTTGTTTATTAATAATGCACGAGGAGTAGCAGATGGAAAGTGAAAGGCTCCATGATGGACTTCAATCTTTAATATCTCCTGCTCATCATGTGCTCTCAGGCTCAGTGATACAAATAATCAGATGAAGTTGATTGGATGTATCAGCAAAAGGCTTCCAGACTCATAAAAAAGGCCAAACGGTGAGTTCCAGTCGGCTGCTAAACGTCCACAGATAAGAATAATGTAATAGTTGGCTGCAGATGGCCAGACCGTCCACAGAGAGAATTACCCAGATCTCCCAGCTGCACGTGGCCCAGAACATACAGGCCACCCTTCTTCAGCTGGTTGATGAAGAGGATGAGCTGGCAGGAGGAGCGAGGGTTGGCCACCATCAGCAATATCTGCGGCCGCCAGAACTTCACGTGGTCCTTCCTCACATCGAGCATCAGCAGGTACTTACGCACCTAAAGCAAGAGGAGGAGAGCGTTGTTGACTCTGTGTGGCACGTCTGTTTATTAGTGTGTGGGTGTTTCTCAATGTCGAGGAAGGCTGCTCCAGAGCCACTATTTCAAGGATGCTACGTCATCGACTGCCACCGAAGGACTGTTCCAATGTCCAGGATGCTTGGAATTCTACCAAGGCCGGCGTCCTTCGTTGCGGGAAATTGCGAGGCTGCACATGTGTATCCTCCGGTCTTAACATCCCCACAATGCTTTGCGCACGGACCAATTTCCAAAATCTTTGGTGGAAATCACACTCCATTTAAGGCGGGGCCTCTGAAATGACGCACACCTGCACACCTGTTGGCCTGTTCCACCATTCTACGATTTCCGGCAAAGATTTGGAAATTGGTCCGTGCACAAAGCATTGTGGGGATTTTAAGACCGCGGAGGATACACATGTGCAGCCTCGAAATGTCCCGCAACGAAGGACGCCGGGCTCGGTAGAATTCCAAGGAGCCTGGACATTGGAACAGTCCTTCGGCGGGACTCGATGACCTAGTATCCTTGAAATAGTGGCTCTGGAGCATCCTTCCTTGACATTGAGAAACACCCTGTGTGTGTGTGGATCCAGATCAGGGTTAATATAGAAAACTAAAACTGATACTAAAGACTTAAGGTTTTCTAACCCCCACTCACTCAATAAAAAAACAATTATACACACAAAATAATATTGTTTTTTTAACAATAATTAAAAGAAGACAGCATGAATGTTGTCAACCCTCTTCACATTGAACCACTTAAATTAAATGCCATTTAAAAGTTAAACCAAATCTATTTATTTACAGTAGTATGTGATACTTCTGAGACATTGTAACCTGGCCCTAATAAAAAGAAATAAAACATTTGAATTGATATATTAATGATTTTGATCTGTTTTTGTTTTGCACTTTTATTATCATTACACTACAGGTACTATGTAACAAAATGGTTTCTCTGCATTTGACCCATCCTAGTGTTAGGAGCAGTGGGCTGCCATTATGAACGGCGCCCGGGGAGCAGTGTAGGGAACGGTGCCTTGCTCAGGGACACCTCGGTAGCACTTGGTCTTGCCAGGACTTGAACTGGTGACCTTTCAGTTGCCAAGCCAAGTCCCTATGGACTTCGCCAGCACCATTAGCTGTTAGCTCAAATCTGGCGTATTTTCTCCTACCGAGATTAACGTTGTTTGTGCATTGTTTAATAAAGACACAAAGTCAAAACTGAAACTAAAATAAAACTAGCGTTAAACGCATTAACTAAACGTAAATACATTTAAATCAAAACAAATGTTATAGTTCCAAACATATATCCTTGTTTTGTAAATATTAATTGTTGTGTTTTTATTGCACATTTAAAAATGTGTCTTTGATTGACTATATATATATATATATATATATATATATATATATATATATATATATGTATATTAGGGCTGTCAGTCGATTAAAATAGTTAATCGCGATTAATCGCAAATGAATCGCACATTTTTGATCTGTTCTAAATGTACCTTAGAGGAATATTTTTCAAGTACTCTTATCAACATATGAGTGGACAAATATGCTTTATGCTAATGTTTATTATCATTTCAACAATGACAAATATTCTCATGAATATTAAACACAACAACCTCTGAACATTACAAATATTCGCCTCAATTCAACCTGGAACCTCTCTCATTCAATAATACAATACAAATGGTGTGTGTGTGTGCGCGTGCATGTGTGTGTGTGTGTGTGTGTGTGTGTGTGTGTGCGTGTGTGTGTGTGTGTGCGTTGGAGCTATGTGCAACTCAAGGCTCGAACGGGAGCTGCCTGGACGCTGCAATCATGTTGCGCGCACTATCCGTGCTGAGTGTGCTGACTTTTCGTACAATGTCCCACTGTCTGGCTTCCTGCATAAAGTCAAGTGCTCGGCGCAGTTGTGGCGAAATGTCGCTCCTCTGTTTTCATTTAAACATCTCCTTATATCCGTTAGCACAGCTAGCTAGCACCAGATGCTAACAACAATGCACTTAAGGTCTCTCTCTCGCTCGCTCGGGCCACACATACACACACCCTCCCGGTCCTCCCAATAGCCAGTCGGTGCCTGCCGGTGAGCTTGGAAGTGTGGTCTGCCACAAGCGGGCGGCAGGAGCGGGGCTGTCAGCATCAGCTTGTAGATGGTATTTTAAACTCGATGCGCTCTGAAACTATGGGGCGGCCGAGGAAAAAAAATACACATGCGTTAAATCGCGTTAAAATAATTAGTGGCGTTAATTTTTAACGCGTTATTAACGCGTTAACTTGACAGCCCTAATGTATATACATATTTGTTTTTATATTCGGGATAGTGGGAAACGGTATTTCGATCTCTCTGTCTGTACATAATAAAGTTGACTTTGACTTTGTTGGAGATACCTGATGGAAGATGAGCGCCTGGCTGATGTAGCCCCAGCTGCTGGTGGGCGATTTGTAGTGGAGGAAGAGCAGCAGCAGCAGCAGGAGCACGATGCTGCCTGACGAGTACATGGGGTTAATGACGAACATCATCACCAAGCAGCTCACGATGCCCAGTAGGCAGGTGTGCCACGAGAACAGCTGGAAGGTGGGTCTGTTGAACACAGAGGCAAAACACTGAGGTCGCCAGACACATCGAAAACAGAAGCAGAGAGAGACGATAAACATGACTTTACTGTACAATAATATATATCAGGGATGGGCAACTTTGAGGATAGGGAGGGCCACAAACAAATGTTCCTCGCTACCAGAGGGCCACTTAATATATAACGGTTATAAATCCATGTGAGAATGATTGGGTTGTTAAAGGGGACCTATTATGCCCATTATCAGGTTCATTGTGTGCCCCTCTACTGTATCATGTAACCCTTTGTGGATCATTAACATGCACAAAGACCTACTGTATACAGTATATTTGGTACATAGAAAATCCCCAAAAGCACAATATGGCCCCTTTAAGAACCACATCTGTCTTTAAATTGTGGTTTTTTTAATCTTTAAAAAGATGAACACTTATGCTACTACCATTTATTTTTCTTAAAGGGGACCTATCATGCAAAATGCACTTTGTGATGTCTTTTATACATAAATATGTGTCCCTGGTGTGTCAGGGAACTCATGCAGTGTCAGAAAATAAAACCCTCTCTTTTTTCCTCCGTACCCAAATCTCTAAAAACGGGGATACAACGGAGCTGATCCAGATTTGCGTCCGATATGACGTAATATCGGAAATGTAGGCTGGCTTTACACCCACGGCCCTATCAGAAACGTTGCTATCAGAAACAATGCCCGACTGTTTTGGACGTAATATAGTCGGTGCATGTTCACATTAGCATCGCTAACACTCAGAGCTAACCTGTACTGGACTGCATGTGTGTGAAGAAGCAGGAAATAAAAAGGAACTCACCTTGTGGTATAACCGGCAAGAGAGAAAGCCTTCGAGCTCCATACTGTTTCAGAAATAATCCTTGATAATCCATGATACGGCGTTTCATCACAGCAGTATTTAGTTTAGACAGTAGTTGCCGGGTCACGCATGAGCTCATTTTTTTTTTTTTAAAGCTTTATACCCAAAATCTGCACTTTTGAAACAGGAAGTGAAATGGAGGGATATGAGGCATGGCTAGAATGGGTGATCTGTTTGGTATTTTGAGCAAAACCCTTCAGACATGTTTTTTATATTTTTTTATATATCTGAGACCTATGCTATTGTCTAAAAATAGCATGATAGGTGACCTTTAAGTGTCCCTATGGTGCTATGAATATGTAACATTTTCTGAACTAATATCCTAAAATATATTCTTATTTTAGCATTAAATGTGAATATATTACTTCCTCACCACCTGAAAAGGTAACTACACCACTAGATTCAATAACAGGATGTTGAGATATAAAATCGCATTTACTTTCTTCTAATAGTGATTGATCTTTAATTACCTGAAATTCGGTGCAGATGCCCACTCAAGAGCCAGGCAGGCCAGGTCAACGGCAGCGTAGGCAAGCAGATAGAAAACAGTCACCAGGCTCGCTACAGCATTGAGCTGACCTGCAAACACTACACACTGAAACACAAACACACACAAACACAGATTAGGACACCAGTGGTAACTCTGAAAAACAACTACACAGCACACTGGAAAGCACCCACAATCTCAACATTTAACGAATGGAAGGCTCTGATGAGTGAAACAGCATCATGTGAGGTTATGTTGGTAAGAATGAGGGGTAGAGGTGGATCTAGGAAATAGGGATTACTTTGTGGAATACCTGACTCTAACTAGTAGCCTGACTGTACTCTCACAAAAGGGCCTTTGTACAATTATTCTAATCAAGCATCATTTGTTGTTATTATTTTATGATCGCTGTAGCGTCTGAATGATCTTACACCTTTGTATTGTTCTGTTTTCTTTTAACCAGGAACACTTAACCTGTTAGGCCCCAAGCCTGTTTTTCAGGTTTCAGGCTCAAAAATGACATTCCCAGAACAAATGATCTTCCCTTCTAAAAGGGTTAAATTAATAATCTTTTTTCTCAAAGTAATGATAAACCTGTGAGTTGGATGTAGAAAAGTCAGAATCAATATAGATGTTTTTTATTTTAAAGAAAATTCAGATTGCACATGGTAAAAAACTGTAAATTATAGTGTCCGTCCAAAAAGTATTTTGTACTTATAGTGAAAACCAGGGGCGTCGCCTGGACCTGAAAACATTCGGGGCTTAGCCCACAGTGGCGGCGGCCGCGGCGCTACAGTGGAATTTTCTACTGCAACACTCCCCACACGCACACACAGTACACCCGCGACTGTTACAATGAAGGCTCGATAATCAGCTCATGGTATATAGGCAGGGGTAAAGTGCTATTTTTTACGAGTGGGGGGCGAACCTCACCTCCTCTAGGGGGGTCCGGGGGGTCTGGTGCGCACCAGAGAAGCGGACTATTAGGTGTGAATGCAAGACTAAAGTGAACTATCTAAACACTCAGAGAGTCCTTTAGCTCACCTGAGTCTCTCAGTCTGAGAGGAGAGGACTCTCCTCCAGCTTGTTGTGGAACAAACAGCTCCTTATGTCCGTTAGTGCAGTTAGCTAACCAGATGCTAACAACACGGTCCCTGCTGGCACCGGTCCCTCTCTCTCCCTCTCTCTCGATCACACTAAATGCGCTATTGCCACACATACACAGAGCCGAGCTTGAATGACACAAGCACACGTTTATTTCCATGCAACTCTCTGATTGGTCTGGTGTCATGCCTCTGTTGCATTCATTGAACACGGGAAATTACAGTCCTACCGTCCTCTCTTGTGTCATGATGAAGTTCACGTAAAGCACGGTCAATGTATTATATTATTGAGGGAGAATTGTCCGGGGCTACAGAAAAAACATTCGGGGCTAAAACCCCGAATGCCCAGGCGACGCCACTGGTGAAAACTAACCTTGGATGATGGTAAGGTAGACTAAAAGCTTTAGGAATCCAAAGTACAACATATAATAAGTACCATGTATCAATATTGATGCAAAACAAGTGATATTTGACCTTTTTAGACAGATTTAGCAAAAAAAACCTCTTCTGGGGCCATTTGGGTGGATTTTCCATATCTCTGGCCCCCCTTGCTCGATTTTGACATGTGACATCTCTTCCTGACCGTTAGAGCCAATAGAATCCAAGGGAAGTCGTCCCGCACACACTCATGTTAAAAAAAAAAGGTTGCGTCTTTGCGCATGCAAGCTTGCAGTAGAGGGGAGAAATATCCCTGCTCTGATATCAAGCAATGGAAAAGCTGTTTTATTGCTTATGGATTATCAGAACATTTCAAAGGGGATACAGTCACATTGGATATTAACCTATGGATTAACTACAGCATCGTTTTTATCGTTTTAATGCCATTGAAGACCAGTTTTGACCAGACAAAGACGAAGGTAAGCCATGTTAGCGTTTTGGGCTACCTAGCGCCACATGTTTTGATGTACGTTTTTGTTGATAACGAGTTTGTATGTTGTGTTGAGGTGGGCACCGTTAGATTCTGTGTCTCCTTGCGATCATAAACGATGTGTTGGATGTGCACCTAGGATAAGTAATAAGGGAGCTAGGAGTGATTTTCGGTGCAGTAATAGGTCAGCATTTTTCGCTCTGGGCTAATTCAGAGGGTCAATGTTAACATTGTGTGTTTTTTTTTTTTTAAGAAAATGAAAAAGATCAGTTAAATTAGTTTTTTTCCGTTATATGGATATAAAATATTCATAGTTTATTAAATATTAAGGTTCCTTAGACGTTGTTTCCTGCAAATGACGTGATTTCGGCACCGGAACCGGGTCCGTGGGGCTTAACCAGGGGCGCAGGTGAGATTTTTAAAATGGGGGGGACGCAACTGAGAGAAATTATTTTCACGATATTTACTTACTATTTGTTTTACTATGTGTTTTACAATCACAAGTAACATTAACCGTAAGCTCAAATATGAACTGTTTCAAGATCAAATATAATACAATGTAAGTAGCCTATGTATTTTTTTTAATATATTAAAAAAAAAAATGTTGGGGCCCCAATGGCATTGACCAGTTCACGCAGTCTTCAAAGTAACCAAGCAACCTAAATTAATTTGTAATTTGTCTGTCCAATGACCTTGCTCCCTTTCATGTCATATGATACCTTGCGTGACGAGCGAACCGTTTAATCAACCTGTACTGTACTGTAGCTAGCAGCAGCAAGTTCGGCAGCATTATAAAAAATATAATAGCTTGCATTTATAATGTACAGCAAACCAAAGCACAAGAGCGGCGCTCAAAAGAGAAAGGACAAGAGAGAGTGTATTTCCGTGTGTGTGCGCTTATGTTTGGGGCGATGGGGGGAACAAAACAATATTTGCACCGGAGCCAATCACAACCTTGTTACGCCACTGGAGCTATGTAGTATGTATTTTCATAAATAAAAACTTTAACTTTTTTTAACTTTAAAAACTACACAGCAGGTCACAAACTCACCTGTGCGAGTCCCCAGGTGTACAACACGGCCACCCAGGGATTCCCCGAGCTCGATGTGATGGTAGCTGGAGCTAAAGGCAGACCTGAGAGGGAAACAATCAGCTGTTAGACGACTGGAGAAGATGGATATTGTGACGGCCCTCTAGGCCTCAGACCCAATTCCCTGGTTAGCCACTCCCGCAATCAGGAGAGATTGCTGACACCTGATTTTGGTTGACTGCATAGTATGGGTGCCTGAGCAGTCAGTCTCTGGGTCCTTCTCAGGTCGATTAAATGGAATCCTTGCGTCCCTCACTTACGTCGTTTCCCTGCGTTTAGTCCCTCACACCAGGGAAGCATGGAGAGACGCAAGGAAACCACGAGAAGCAGGGAAATTAGTTTTAAGAGCAATGGGACGTCCTTTCTTCCGGAGAGCCACGTGAAGTGACGTCCGTTTGTGATGACGCCGCACAGCTGTTCGTCTGACAGCAGCTCTGTCCCCGTTATTTTCACAAACACCCCGCCTCTGTTAGTACACATTTACTGACACAAGCATTTGTATCATCTGTTGTAGACCCGAATACATTAAATAAAATAAGAACTCATTCTCAAAAAAGATAAACGCCATTCTTAAAATGTATAAACGAAAAAAGCGATCATGAAAATGTTTCCAATAAATTAATACAAATTTTTTTTACCACTTTGTTGTTCAGATATATCACATATTTGTAACTAAATGATACATGAATTGAAACAAAACAGTATAGACTGAGGAGTGACTCCCGTGAGGTTCATGTATTTTCTTCACTCCGCTGGGAAACTGCATCATGTCAAGAAGCATCAGATCAGTGCATGCCCTGCATCGTCCAATCAGTGAGCGATACACAGTAAGGGGGCGGGGCGAGTGTCTGTGGATTTCATCGGAGGATGGTCTGGTGCTTCCTCGATTATCGCTCCTCCATTATCGCTCCTCGCTCCTCCGGCAGAAATAAGCGCCATGGGACAGTACTCAAGATGGCGCAGACAAATCAACTTCCAGTGATACCGAGGACCGAGGAGCGAGGAAATGAAAATAATCGACCTGAGAAGGACCCTCTCTCTCCTCTTGGGTTGCTTGGCTCTACTGGATCTTGGTTTGTTTGTCTTTGCTTTATATACTGATGCAGCGTGTAGTACACACCCACACACTTCACACATTACTGATTAACTGACTTCATAGTTAACTTAGTTTCTTTAAATGAATGTACTTTAATTGGATATGAATCATGTGTGGTCTCCTTCTTTTGTCCGTCCTTGAGCCAGGGCGTGACAAAATAAGTTTAGGAAAATATGGATATATTTCCCAATCGTTCCTGATTAAACTTTTGCATTTTGGAGGGGTCTCAACACTGGACGGGTTGTCGCGGGGAGGAGGTGCTGCCGTACTGACATTTATTGTTTATTATTGACATTTTTGTTTTAGCTGATTTATTTCTTTATTTTTTTGTTTGTCTTTTTGTCTGTTTGTCTTCTGTCTGTGTGGGATTTTGTTTGCCCTGGTGTTAAGCAGTATTTACATTGTTACTCTACCTATTTTTCTATAAAGTGAAGATGTGTTTACCTACTTTTGATACATGCTCTGATAGAACAACTGTATGCTGTTGAAAAAACCCAATAAACAAAGTAAAAAAAACGGATATATAGAACTCCCTTCCCAGTAAAATCTGAAAGGCCAACCCTCTTGAATCCTTAAAAAATAAATCTCTCAAAACTCACTTATTCACCCTAGCTGATCAACAACCCACTTTACTCGCACTTGGATTTGGACTACTGTTTGTTTGTACTGTTTCTGATTTTATGTAAGGTGTCTTTGAGCACCAGGAAAAGCGCTTTAAAAATCAAATGTATTATTATTATAATATATATATATATAGAGTACCACCTCTGCACAATACAACTGATGGTCTCAAACACATTAAGAAGGAAAGTAATTCCACAAATGGACTCTTGACAAGGCACACGTGTTCATTGAAAACCATTCCAGGTGACGACCTCATGAGGCTGACAGAGAAGCCAAGAGTGTGCAAAGCTGTCATCAAGGCAAAGGGGACAACTTTGAAGAATCTAAAATAAAAATCATATTCTGGATTTTTTTAACACTTTTTTGTTTACTAGATAATTCCATATGTGTTCTTTTATAGTTTTGATGTGTTCAGTATTAATCTACAATATAGAAACAAATTAAATAAATAGAGATGTGAAGGTGTGTCCAAACTGGAAGTGTATATGGTGAGAAACACCTACCAAAGAGCTGATCCAGAGCGAGAGCGTGGAGGATGCGGGACGCCCCGATCATGGAGCACATCGCCGCTGAAAGAGAGGCGCAGTATATCCCAACGGTGACTAACGGAGACCAGATGCTAATCCTCTGGAGGAACCCATAATCCTGGATCAGCAGGGTCCTAAAGAGGAAACGAACGTCTGCTTATTTGATTGTTGACCTCTTTTTAATGCATCTGATTTAGGAGTAACGGATTATATGCAACGGTATTAAGGATACAGAAAAAAAGTTATATTAGAAAATACATAATCAGATAACTGTTATATTTCAAAGAAATTGGGGATTACTATTCGTACTACAAACTAAATAGAGCATGTAGTGTTGTAAAAGGAGCACATTGTATTTCTCCTTTGTTAGCTGTAATGTTCTGTAGGGTAATATTTTAAGTGTGAATTGATACGCCTACTGCCTGAATCTGCTATATGTTTTTTTCTTTGGTTCATTTGTTCTGTTTTTTATTCAGTAGGTGAACCTACTTAATTAAATAGTGTGTGTGAGCTTAACTGTGTGTATTAAACCAAAACGTAGAATTTTCTGTCAGCTCAGATTTTATTTCTGCTTTTTTAAACTGTAGAATGTGCTCATGTGTTTCATTGTTGGTGTATAGGCTACTGCCTGAATATGCTGAATTAAAGGCAGGTTTTCCTATAAATACAATTATTTTTGATTATTGGTTTCTTCTTTACTAAGGTCACATTGCTCTGTTGTCTTACATGGGTGGGGTAGGTAATTTTGGAGAAACCAGCTCGAGTGCGCTAGAATTTGAAAATACACAGCCGGAAAAAATCTGCCACTTCCTTCCAGAGCCCCTCCTCCAACACACACGAATGCGCACATGACCAATGAGGGCACGAGATAAGTTTGTGCACAGATGGAAGGCTGACAGGCAGGTAGGCCATCCAGTTATTTTAGCCGAGCCGGCTCAGATGATTGGTCGTGCTTTTTACAGCGCCACGGCTTCCACAGATGACATTTTTTAATGGATTTTTTGTCAAAGCACTTCAGATATTCATTGCTATCGGGATGTTAAGAGCATTCCATGGAATATAACAAGTGTATCTCGAGCCGGTTTCTCAAACTTACCTACCCCACCTTTAAGTACAAAATCACAAGTAATTGTAATGGAGTATATTTAAAAATGTACCCTCCCAACCCAGTTCAGACATTATTATAAAGCACTTCAGACCTGTCACAGGTGGCGCCCACCAGAAGGAAGAGGAGGACGTAGACTGCAAAGGTGTAGAAGACGGCCACGATGGTGCCTTTAGGGATGGAGATACTCGGAGTCTTCAGGTCTCCTACAGAAAAACATGCAGAGTGAGAACAAACATCAGGGTTTGCACGATAGTGTGTGCAATGCATGGTTACTGAGTTGTGGTAGACATATTGATTTTTAATGGTCTTGGCTCTCATTTATCAGATATGTTTTTAACATTTGAACCCTCTAGCACCCCCAGGTCTTTATGTACTGGCCTTTGAATTATATTTTGAAACAACAGAGGGAGGTTAGTTGTTGTTTATTAATAGTTTATGTGTCTGGTTTGTGAAGCACTTTGTTTGAGCTTTTGTGAATAAAAAGTGCGACTTTTCTGCATGAAAAATAACTCCATTGTTTGTCAATTGACAAGTCAAATTATTGCAGCTCTACATATAATCCTAAAAGGTAAAAGAAGCGTTTTGATAATGGAAAATAACTCCAGCTAAATTCCACCTGGGGCAATTGCAGCGTTCATTCTCCAATGTGATTCAACTTCGAAGATAACACCAAGCTTATACCTGACATGTTGGCTCCGGCCATAATCCCGGTGCAGCAGGTGAACATGACGGCAAACACGGTGGAAAAGGACATGACAGAGTTGGTGCTGTAGTCCAAAGAGTAACCAGCTGCAGTCGGAAACAAAAAGAGGAACAACAGTGAAACCTTTAACCTGTGCTTCTAAATGTAGCTTCAGTTGTGTTCGTAGTTTCACATCCTCATATGTATGTAGTGTTGTTTGCATTTGATTGTTCTCTTTTATCCTTTCGCCTGTATCTACTTGTCTTTCATCCTTTCTTTATAACTAATGCTGTTGATGTATTGTGATTTTAAAAAGGTGTCTATTATCATCTGGCCGGGGACAACAGCTGGAAATTAGCAATGCTGGCTAAAGCTGCCTTTGTGACAGTTGATCAATGGGGACTGTCCACGACACTATAAACAAATAAACTAAACTTCACGGCCCAACACTCACAGCCCAGGTTGTTCCTCAGAGTCGTGACGCTGAAGCCTGTGTAGCTGGCGTTGTATCGGAGGGTCTCGTTGCCAGATCTCTTGTGAGTGATGACGAAATCACGAGGTTTGACCGCCACAGAACTGATGAAAATGGACAGCAAGGACACAGTGACCAAGATCAGGATGACGAAGGAGGTGCGGGAGTAGATTTTGGCGCCAACCAGACACACGAGCAGACACAGCAGAAGAACCACTGAGGAGTACAGCACCCCATACCAGTAACCCTGAGGAAGCACCCGCACCCCCTGAGACACCGACGAGTCTATAACACAGGGAGAAGACAAACTGAGAATACTCACATTAAAAACTCAAGTCCTAAATTAAAAAGGTGGAGGAACAGAACCAAAAACATACCAGGATCAGAGCCGAATATGTCAAGTATCGCCTCCACAAGACCAAGAACGTATTCTCCACACGCACACACTTTGGCCAAGAAGAACATCAATCCGATGCTTCCTCCAAACTCCGGGCCCAGAGAGCGACTTATCATATCTGAGCATATTTAGTTAAGGTTGATGTTTCTACTCAATTTAAAAGGACATGTTATGCTAATTTCCAGGTTCATATTGTAGTGCAGCACCTCTTTTCACCCTCTGTCTGAAACCAGAGCCCAGTCTGCTCTGATTGGTTAGCTGGCCGGCTCTGTTGGGATTGGTCCACCTTTTAGTAATGTCCTGCCCTTTAGCCTATCACGTACAATGTGTTTAAGCGGTTGCCAATAGAAGCACGTTACTATGCGAGGTCACTATGTTATGGAAGTAAACAAAGGAGCCCAATCGAGTCGTTTCAGGCAGCTATGGAACTTTGGGATTTCAGCCTTTGCAGACCATTTACATCCACACAAAACTATATAACACACTACAGGAAAGGGAAAAGCCCAAAATGCATAATAAGGCCCTTTTAAGATTGATGTTTCATCTGAAATAAGTGAATCTGTTGGAAAAACATAACTAACACTCATGAAAAAACAACCGTTGGGTCTCTAAGGATACAGTAGGCGCCACCACCTTGTATAGCGCCGTTGGTGGAAATGGCACAGATGGACAGTATTGTGAGAGATATGATCGTGTACGCCACAATCACCATTAATAGACCCTGCAACAGCCCCGCGTGACCGACCACGAACCCTGCAGGAGAGATCACATCAGCGTTAGTCACCACTGTACAGCACAATGACTCAGTTATATTGTGAGGCACTCAAACAAACACCCACTGTCTACCACCCAAAACTGCTTTTTCAGATCTCTGCACACGCACGCATGATCGCTCACCGGTTCTCAGGAACAGCACGATACTGAACATGGAGAGGATGGTCGGCACCATCACCCCGAAAAATGTGTTCAGTTTCCGCGGGTCTACTGTTGGCGTGCCAGAGCCGGATTCAGGGGTCACGTCCGACTTCCCGCCACATGCGGTCACCGCCAGACCGCAGACCCCCGAGGTCATCAGGGGGGTGCGTTCGTTTGACATGGTTGAGATGAGACTGCTTACCCTGTTACAAATAAATGAATGAGGACCGGTTTTAAACAGATGTGACTCAACTCCTCAAAGGCAAAGAATCTAACATGCTTGTTTTTCACATCACTGGATGGAAGAATTATCCTAAAACAGACACCCAGACAATTTTCTTATTATTAGACATATTTATGTTATTTCAGTAGACCCCTTATCTTTTGTTTATGAGAGAATATATTACGTTTTTTGTAAGATGTGTATCTTATTTCATATCTATACTGTATTAGCACCAATTGAAGTTATTGCCTGTAACATTTTGCCTTGAAAGTTTAAAAAAAAGAAAAGACGTTTATCATCACAAGGCCCCAGAAGAAAATGTATTACATAATGAATCTCCCATGATCAGGTCTCCTTTTCCCCTTATGGACAAAGTGAGACCATTTATTAGTCTCACAGAAAAGTATGTAAGTGTTACAAATAATCCTCAATGTATTTGTTTCTGTTTCAATTCAAATGTAGCAACAAGCCACAAAGAGACCCGTTTGCTTTCTCACACAAAGTTATGTTTTTAACCTTTACAGCACGTGAAAGCTTCCACCTTCATGTAAAACAAAGTGCTTATTTTTAAAGAAGACATGTTATGCTAATTTCCAGGTTCATATTAGTATGTAATGTAGTGTCTCTCCTGTGACATGTCTCCATGCTTTAATGTTCAAAAAGCTCTTTATTTTTCCTCATACTGCCTGTGCTGCAGCACCTCTTTTCAACCTCTGTCTGAAACCAGAGCCAAGTCTGCTCTGATTGGTTAGCTGGTTAGCTTGGTTTCTCTGTTGTGATTGGTCAACCGTTTAGAGATGTCAGGTACATTGTACCTTTTCAGACCATTTACATGCAGAAAAACCTATAACACAATACAGGACTAAACTTCAGATTCACCCGTCTAAAAGCATGCTATTGAAATTAAACCAGTTTTGTAGCATTCAGGTGCCTACCAGTACCCTCAAACTAGCTTTGGGTCATTCCAGAATTGGAGGACAATTTAGACGCCAACATTTTAGAAAAATGAACCTTTTATTTTATTATTTGTTGTCATGTATTTAGGAGAAACAGATAATAAACCATCAAAGTGATTTGCCCAGCTAAGGCATCAAATGTACACTTTTTATTAGATGTTTTATTTGTTGTGTGCCATGCTTTGTGCAACCCTGTTACAAATACTCATTAAGCAGAAAAAAGTATTTTCTAAAGATATTCTTCAATAAATTCTATTACTATTAAGTAAAGAAAGTCACATTTAAATTAAATACTCATGTCGTTTTTGGATAAAACTGGTTTAATTGTATTATTTTATAACAGAAAAGAACAGGGTTGAAATTAGAGCAACAGGGTTGCATAAGGTAACAGTGTTACATGGCTACATTACTTTTGATTGTAGATAATGACATCAATGTGACAAATAAATACTCAGGACAACAGAAATGTTGTTTGATAATATTTTATATATATTTTCCAATGAAGAATTAACCCTGTTACTCTAATTATAGTAACAGGGTTGCAAATCAATGCTAATTTGAGCTTTTACCTCAGGAATTAATGCTAGCTGCACAATGTAATGCTATTGTCAAGGAATGGACACACTTAGATATTTAACTAAAGAAAGATACATTTGAAATACATTTGTTTTAGTCTCATAATGTGAGTAACAGGGTTGCGTTTGTATGAGTGCCACACTCCTTCAAGAGTGACAAGATTGGAAATATATAAAAAATAAAAGAGAGGACTTAGTTTTGGTCTACCCATGGCACTAGCACATGGCTTGCTGATGTCCTTTCCACTGTGTCATGTGAAAAAAACTGTTTTTTCACTCTCTCTGCCAAGCTAAAAAGGTTTGGGTAACAGGGTTGCGTGCATGTTGAGGGACACACCTTCAGTGTAAAATTACTGTTATTTAAAATGTGTTTGTGATTTAACAAATTGATTTTACCATTACAAGGTTACCCTTACATATAGAATAATACCAAGAAAAGTAAATAAAAACCCTATTTTAAATGTTATATTTGACATGCAAGTTGGTCACCAAGAAGCTGGGACAAGAGAAAAGTCAATTTTAGGGGATGTTCGAGAGCTATTTGATATTTTAAATAATATTTTGAAACCACTTTTTCTACAACTTTATATGCATCTTGTCTCAAGACAAGTATGTTTAACACAACAAGTGCATGTTTTAGCTTTTTGGGCATGGATTATTTGATTTTGTATATGTGGGACATGAAATGTCCTCCAATTCTGGAATGATCCCTTTATTGTAACCTATTCAGTTAGGAACTTCCCTTTTCCGCACCACCTTACTGCGAAAAATACAAAAAAGAAACCAGAAAAAGCGTGTGAGTGATGTTTGCGAGTCGCTCTTCTTAATGAAAGCTGCACCTCACACCACAGGCTGGTATTTGCAGTCACCTGATTCACAGCTGCTTGTCTCTTTTTACATGCACACATCCCAGCTGAGCAGCCTGAGCATGCCCTGCTGTGCCCAGGTGACCTGGGCTGTTTTCTCTTTAAGATGTGACTTTGTCATTCTTTTCTCAAGGAGACAGATTTCATCACTGAAGCTGTTGCCAAAGTCAACTGTGTAATTAGCTGCATGAATCACATGATGGGGATACCTGAACTCCGACAAAGGTTTTAAAACATGATTTGTCATGAAGGAGCATAACATCATAATTATCACATGGATCACACACTTATTTAATGAAACAATTTTCACATCATTTGGAGCAAATATCTGTAAATATAAGTCCTTTAGTGCAAAAATGCCAAAAACTTAAGATGCTCAGAAGTGTCAATGTTTTGCTTTTAAATGACATTGAGCTAGACGTTTGGTTGGATAAGGAATTGGAGGGGCATGTCATTGACTATAATAAATAATGTTCCAGATGTATGAACATATCCATAAAATACTGTAGAAATATGCATTTCTATCCACCACTGGGTCACCAAAAGTATACCTAGAATCTTTCAATGGATTGGCTGTTTTGTATGTTTTCCCTAGTTGCACATTAACACGTCTTGAGTCAAATTCAAGTGCATTTTCAGCGTTTTAAAGGGGGAAGTTGTATAGTAAATGACAACTGTGTACATACATTGATCTACATCCACGATAGTGTTGTTAGTTCCTTTTATTGACAGTGATGCTTTAAGTTGCACATGCTATTCATGCTGCACTGAGCTGATTTCTCTTATGTTAATTCAGACCTCCTAAATCTAAATAATAAGGCCCTTTCAGGGTCCAACGCCACCCCCACTTTTGAAACAAGTCTGTTACCAAAATAAATCACCGATTCCGTCACTTTTACGTAGCATCAGGGTGGAGCAACTGCGGCATTACAACTTTACATCTTTAACGAGACAGAAGTGGTACAAATGTGAATTAATAATACGCCACAACAGTCGCGGTTGCATCTTGGGTAAATGTTTGTTTACGTTTTTAGGCTCTCGGTCAGGAAGGGGTGCCGGACAGTCATAAAACTACACAGCCGATGTGAAGTGCTCGTGCAGGGTGTCATTCATACAGCAACATCCAGGACATTTAGCACCAGACGCACCCTGTATCCGCTGAAACACCGAGGACAGTGAAACTTACCTCCCCTCACAGTTTCACACACTTCCTGCTTCTTGTTGGGGCTCCCTCCCTCTGGTTCTCCTCCCTATGTCTCTGGTAATCTCTGTCCCGGGTCAGATGCGCAGTGGACGGTCAGATGTGACCAGAGCAGGCCGGTGGACATGACAGGACTGAGCTGTCCGGGAGTTAGATACTGGGAAAGATGTGCTGCCCAATAACAACACAGGAGACATGGCACGCCTCGTCCCCCTATTATTTGTTCAAAAGTGTCACGGGAGAGCAGAAGCTGAACCATGTGACTGCCAAAAGGGGAGGGCAAAAACATCCACAAAAATTAGCAAAGCTACTGCTTGTCTGAAATAACCACACCCATTATGTTTAAATAAACCGTTACATCACAAATAATGTATTGATGACTTCCAATAAGTGCTCATGAAGTGGTTTTACCAGTTGTTGAGTCTGATGTACGCACTTAGAAAAAACAAACAAACTGTATGTGAGCATCAGGCGTAGAAATACTGTGGGCTGACTGTAATGGCTCGTCTTCACAGCAGGGGGCACTACTGACGAGAGATGACGTCCATAGGAAGAGGATCACCATATAACAGGACATGAGATGACAAGTAAGGGTTACATCCATAAGAAATGTTACATGGAACAAGTACCTCTGTAGTTTTGATAGTACCATGGTACACATCATGGTATGAACTATGGTAAATTACTTGCCTGTTGCTGTGGTTCTGTCTGATGCTCACCTTACTACTTCTTTGTTGACATCCAACTGGATTCATCTTCTTCTTATTTAAAGACACTTGCATTTTCAAGCATTTGGACTACCTATGTTGTAAAGTGTTATCTTTTTAATGTACACACAACATCCATTGCACGTCTGTCCGTCCTGGGAGAGGGATCATCCTCTGTTGCTCACTCCAAGGTTTCTTCAATTTCCCCCCATTAACTGTGATCTTTCTTTGGGAGGGTTTCCTTGTACGGTGTGACATGTTGGCTATATAAATAGACTTTGATTGATCTATTGATGATCCACCACATCAGGAAACAGTATGTGCTATGGAACAGGACCTATCAAATATACTGTGGATGCACCATGGTACTACTAAAATGTTTTACAAATACCATAGCATTGTCAAAAATACCATGGTACTTGTACGTGTAACAGTAGATACTGTAGAATGCAATGGTACATCAAATAAAATACTGGACTGAGGCAAATGAAGAATACTAACTTGATTTATTTGTATTATTTAACATGTTGAATTGAAACATAATATAACATACAATGGTAATACGATCTGATTTACTGCAGTATTTACCCATTTCTGAGTTACCGGTACTACTATGGTATACAATGGTACGCATGATAGTGTACAATGGTAAAATGTGGGAAATGTTGTGTTATGTGCAAACAATTTGAAGTCTGTGTAAGCCTGCATCCATTCTCTTCCAGGAAAACACACAGAACTAAATCAAACAAGGGCATGATAGGGATTGTATGATATTAATGTGTGAGGTTAAGGAGGGCAGGGTCTATTTACAGTTTACCAATTGTTAGTTAGCATCTCCACAATTTTACTTTGCAAGCTCTGCGACAAATGGTTTCCATTACTCTGTAACGCTATAATGCCAATGCTACACATGCAAAAGTGTAATATACTCTGGGCCCAAACATTTGCATAGAGAAATACAGTGTCAGGTTAATAATGTGCCTGTCTATTATCTTGACTGTTGAAACGTAACACCCATCACAGACTGGAAGAGTGAAATAAATATTAGATTTTAATTTTTTGTTTAGAACATTTTACAATTACAAAGTGAGATTCACAGATAGATAGATGGATAGATAGATGGATAGATAGATAATAGATAGAGAGATGGATAGATAGATAGAGAGAGAGATAGAGAGATAGATAATAGATAGATAAGTGGATAGATAGATAGATAGATAATAGATAGATAGATAGAGAGAGAGATAGAGAGAGATAGAGAGAGAGAGATAGATAGTTAGATAGATAATAGATAGATAGATAGATAGATAGAGAGAGAGAGATAGAGAGAGAGAGATAGATAGTTAGATAGATAGATAATAGATAGATAGATAGATAGAGAGAGAGATAGAGAGAGAGATAGAGAGAGAGAGATAGATAGATAGATAGATAGATAATAGATAGATAGATAATAGATAGATAGATAATAGATAGATAGATAATAGATAAATAGATAGAGAGATAGATATATAGATAGATAGATGGATAGATGGATAGATAGATAGATAATAGATAGATAGATGGATAGATGGATATATATTGATAGATAGACATAGATAGAGAGATAGATAATAGATAGATAAGTGGATAGATGGATAGATAATAGATAGATAGATAGATAGATAGAGAGAGATAGAGAGAGAGAGAGAGAGAGATAGATAATAGATAGATAGATAATAGATAGATAATAGATAGATAATAGATAGATAGATAGATAGATAATAGATAGATAGATAGATAGATAGATAGATAGATAGATAGATAGATAGATAGATAGATAGATGGATAGATAGATAGATAGATATTGATAGATAGACATAGATAGAGATCAACAGAATAACAGGATAACCCACTCTTGTGCAGTAATATTGGGTGAATTTCTGAATTACATCCAATCCAATTAATTTAATATGCATTACTTCCCATCTAAAATCTCCCCAAGGCTCCAGACTCACTGAGGGAATCAGTTTCAGTATACAGTAGAGAAAGTGCAAGATGTCACCTGATCCAAACATCAGGTCATCTGTTCATGCTCTGCTCTCTTGTTCATTTGACCTCCAAAATCACTGGAAAAGCCGGATGTAGGCCCATTGAACTGTATCTTCTAAAGCTGACTCATATTTATTCATAGTATTTAAACGCGTCAATAATTGTTTAAATATTTATACCTGCTCTATAGTGTATTCAATTTCTATACTGTGTTGTATACGTACTGTTCATTCTGTAAATACAACTCTTTATATCTGTTGTATGTACAGTACTGAATAACACTGCACTTTACTGCTTCTTTCGCACTTCTGTTTAGATGCTTACTGCATGTCGTTGTCTTAGTACTTGCACTCTGTGCAGTAACCATAGTGTTGAATATATTCTATTCTGTAAAGTGAAGAGGATACCAGAGATGGGAGAAGTACTCAGATCTTGTACTTGAGTAAGTAGAAGTACCAGGGTGTAGGAATACTCGGTTACAAGTTAAACACCTGCATTCAAAATGTTAAAGTACTAAGCTATTAGCATCAACATATACTTAAAGTACCTCATTCTGCAGATTGGTCCATTTCAGAATAATATATGATATCTTTTATAATTATTCATCATTAAAGTGTTCTCAAAGCTGGTAAAGGTGCAGCTAGTTTTGACTTTGTATACTGCAGGGTAGCTTGTGAATTTACTCCAGGTGCAACTAAAGTCTGATTACTTATTTCACATCATTATCATCCTAATCTGTAAAGCAGCTAAAGGTATTACATGTAGTGGAGTAAAAGTACACCATTTACCTATGAATTGTAGTGGAGTAGAAGTAGCATACAATGGAAAGTACGAGTATCTAAAAATTGTACCTAAGTACAGTACTTGAGTACATCTACTTAGTTACTCTACGCCACTGTTAATAGATGGGTGTGGTTGAAACATGCTTCATGTCCTGATTTGAGAACCCTTTTTTTGCAATCGCCCACCGCGTGATCTGCCTGTTTCTGAATGATGATATTCAGAGGAGAGAAAACAGGAACCGTGTGGATCTCTGACCGACATGCCTCTCATTACTGACAGAAAATACATGCAGTAGATCTTCTGATGGGATGGTTTCTTGCAGCCATTATCCTTTTCTAATGCTCTTATTCTCCTATGTGAGGCAGATCTTCCCTCAGTAATTCATTGTAGGCTCGGAGGCGGTTGTCCTGATGAAGTGTCGGCAGAGGGAGGAGGAAACCAAAGAGAGGAAGGAAACGAGGATAACGTCACAAGAAGCAGAATCGGAGTAAAACGGACTGAATAGTATTTAATGGACAGTGCTTGATGTGGGCCAGGGGACCGAGCTGCTCAATTGTGTTTGTTTACGTCGCATTTGGACAAAGATGTGTTTGTTAACTGATCGGGCGTGAAAAAAAAAAAAACTTTTCGAGGAGAAACGGCAACACAGCAGCAGATTTCATCTTTTTTCAGCAGGCTCCACCACAGCAGAGAAATGGAAATGTGTGTAGCCCTCCTGCGTTTGCCTGTTCGCTGAAGGATTTGGAAATAGCCTAATCGTGACACACGGAGCTTTAAGTGGATCTCATTTTTTTAATGAGCAGAAAAGACTAAATCCTCCAGCGGATTTTTTTTGTGGGGACGCTGCCTTCGGTTTTTTTTGTAACGGCAGAGGGGGAAAAAGCAGCAAATCATCGGGAGAATTAACAGGTAGCCACCCATTATGAAACGCTTGTGACAGGCTGATGTAGGCCGGCCTATTGAGGGTAAAATGGCTGGGTGATGATGTGCCTATTCGTGGCATCATTTCGACTAAATTAATTTAGCTACATCCGCATTTTAGGAGCTGAGCATCTGAAACAAGATGTGGCCAAGGCCTTCCCTGATCAATATGTGATGTAGCATGCATTCACGGGGCCTGTCCTCCTATTTAAATACACTAGGACGAGTGTTAATGCTGCAGACGGTGAAATGAACATCGTTATGGAGCACATCCTATATATATTTATTGATATATATTTGGATCGAGGCTTCTTTCTTTTACTGCGGTTTTATTTCCGTGCGGAGCTCCCAGGCCTGCATGTGTTAACCTGGGATCTGCACCGTTTCTCTTGACATTAACATTTACTCTAACATACAGTGATGTGTGGGCTCTGCATCTCCTCCAGCTGCAGATGGAGGCACTGCCATGGTGGTGTAGCTCCACATCAGATGTGCATCTTGAAGGGGTGGGGCCAGTCACACTATGGCATCATGTTCTTTCTCTCCTTGTGTTATAAAATATGCTCTTTAAAGGCCAGGACTCTGTAATCACAGCTTTATTCTAACCCCCCTCATCAGCATCATCATGTATGCTCAGCTACTCAGCCATGCATCAGTGCAGGTGGAGTCTATATGATGTGTGTCTTTTTCTACCATTGGCATGACTTCAGCACAAATCTGCTCGCCCTCCAGTCGATGCTCGCAGGCGACAAAACATGCCATCGAGCATCTGGCTGGACCCATCCAGGCCTGATCCTCTGATGCATCATCACCCCCCCTCAGCCTTTCTCCTCCTCATTGGCTAAATGAGCAGCTGTGCCAGGAGACTGAGACCCATGATGCACCCCTTTTGGCGTCCATTAGTGCCGTGTGATCCATCTGGTCGCAGGTCCCTCCAGGGAACAGTGACCTACTGTAGCTAATTGCTCTTCCTTTTCGCTGTGCACTGTATGCATGTTTGCTGAGGATTTGAATTGCTGCACAAATGCAAATAGAGGCTCCCTCTTTGAATGAGTAACTGTGCTCATATCAGGGACAGGATATGCTGCCTTCATATTGGATGTGATGTACAGTATTTGCATGACCTCAGTTGGCCCGTAGCTAAATGAAACATCTCCTGCCATGTTCATTTGTAAGAAACCACAGCGTTCAGATGAGATAAAGATGAGTGTGTCCAGCATTAGCACAAGTTCTGACTTGACACACGACCTGTATAGTGTTACGCTCTCCCTCAGCCTCAAAGGGAGTGTTCGCTCAGTTTCTGCTGCCTGGTAGCGATGCTGGCTGCTCGATAGCAGTTTAGTCATTACAGATTATTCTCCTCAGTTTAACTAGGCATGGTTGCACAGCTGTAAACAGATTACAAGGTTTTTTCTCACTGTGTGGGTTCAGTAAACCTTAGAGATTAAAATGCATTTTTTGTTTTTTAATCTCAAATCAATGGCAGACTGTATTTTAAGTCATTTATTTTACTTAATTGATTCATTTTCGATGAAAGTGGACTCATGGATTATGGCAGCATGAAACTATGCTAATCCCAAATTGGCCTCACTTATACATCTGCAGTTATTTGTATTAATTCCGAGATTATGCTCGATGTATATCAGAGTCTGATATTTGAACTCTTCCCACTAACAGGTGACAGCTTGAAAAATCCAAAATGAGTGAGTTGGAGCAACTTCGCCAGGAGGCTGAGCAGCTTAGGACCAGATACGAGTAAGTCCAAATGGTTTTTACAGTTTTTAATGTTCGTATAGATAATGCTGATATTCACATGGTTTGAAATGTATTTGTTTCATCCTATGATCCCTTGTCTATTAGGATGCCAGGAAAGCATGTGGAGACTCAACCCTGACACAGGTAAGTGCAAATGATCCAAGTATAGCTATCATGAATATCTATACATGTTTAAGGGAAGCTTGATTTTAGTGATAACCATTGGTTTGGTGACCATTAGTATGGAAACATGATACCTTAAACCAAAGGTAAAACTACATTTGGTTTTAAAGACCTTGAAGGTTAAAAAATGTGTACGCTATTGAATTTGGCATGCACAATTTGTAAAAAATACATGATGAGTTATTGTTAGTTATACCGGCTCCCACCCACATTATCACCAGAGTAACATGAGGTTTAACCATTCATTTATAACATTAGTTTTTACATCTCTATGCATTCATATCATCTAACTTGGCATGACTTTCTAGATGTCCCTGTGTGGGGTTTTGTCCTCAGGTTTTCACCATTTTGTTAGAATCCCAAGTTTCACTCTGGACCTTGGAACTCAATTATCAATTAAAAAATGATGGAGGGTGAAGGTGTAATTGTTTGATTAACCTCTGCTCTCTAACCCAGATAACTGCTGGTCTGGATCCTGTGGGGCGGATCCAGATGCGGACGAGGCGCACCCTCCGAGGCCATCTCGCTAAGATCTACGCCATGCACTGGGGCACTGACTCAAAGTAAGTCCATACTATACAGAACATGTTCAATTATATGTTTATAATACATTTAAATATACAACAGAGAAACAATACTTCATTTAATAACCTTACTGAACTGTAGCCTAAACTAGCTGTGCCTAAAAGTGTTAGTCTAAGCTAAATCTAAGCCAAGTCTTTGCCTGCACTGTTCTTTGTGCTAAGTGCTAATTAGCTAATGTTAGCATGCTAACACACACTGAATGGTGAACATGGTAAACATTACACCTGATTCAGCATTGTGGAATTATCATTAGAGAGATAATATTAGCATTTAGCTCAAAGTGATGGTTTTTTAACATGTTGTAGCAGTTTTAGGTTCAGTACTATACACTACACTTAAAGGTGGGATAGGTAAGTTTGAGAAACCGGCTCGAGATACACTTTTTGTTATATTCCATGGAATGCTCTTAACATCCCGATAGCAATGAATATCTTTAGTGCTTTGACAACAAATCCATTAAAAAACGTCATCTCTGGAAGCCGTGGCGCTGTAAAAAGCACGACCAATCATCTGAGCCGGCTAAAGTAACTGGATGGCCTACCTGCCTGTCAGCCTTCCATCTGTGCACAAACTTATCTCGTGCCCTCATTGGTCATGTGCGCGTTCGTGTGTGTTGGAGGAGGGGCTCTGTAAGGAAGTGGCTTATTTTTTTACGGCTGTGTATTTTCAAATTCTAGCGCACTCAAGCTGGTTTCTCCAAAATTACCTACCCCACCTTTAAATAGCACAAAAGCTGTTGTTAGGCATTGTGTGGCCTTTACCCACACAATGTCTTGAGAGAGAGACATGTACCAACCGGGAACAGACTCAAAATGACCTAAAAGAAACTACAAAAAAATATAAAAAGAGAACAGCTGCAAAGACAGCCAAAGGAAACAACCACAAAGGCACAAAATGACTTTGTAAGGCCACAAACACACAAAAAAAGAGGCTAATCTGCCCATGAACGGTGCTGAAATATCTACGGTAAACCTTTCCATCTTTCTACATTTTGGCTGTACTAGTGGACTTGTCAATGTGGAAGACAGGTGTTTTAACTGAGAGTCAACAGTGTTATATGTCCATTGACAGATAAGGTATGTTTGCTCTCCACAGGCTTCTGGTTAGTGCCTCTCAAGATGGAAAACTGATCGTGTGGGACAGCTACACCACTAACAAGGTAAAGTCAGCTGAATTATTCTGCTTATCAGCTGGATAAATAATCACACTCGGCCTCCGTTCCAACTGGATATCAAAGTGGAGTAAAGTCCTTCTCTCTTAGGAGTGCGGTTTACTCATTTTGTAACCGATGCTGACATATTCTTGCATTACAAGGGACATTATGTTTTCAATGTTAACAAAACCTATGCTCTTATTAAAGATCACCTATTATGCAGAATCCACTTTTTCATGTCTCTTCTACATCAACATGTGTCCCCTCTTCTTCATGTCTCTTCTACATCAACATGTGTCCCCTCTTCCTCATGTCTCTTCTACATCAACATGTGTCCCCTCTTCTTCATGTCTCTTCTACATCAACATGTGTCCCCTCTTCTCCATGTCTCTTCTACATCAACATGTGTCCCCTCTTCCTCATGTCTCTTCTACATCAACATGTGTCCCCTCTTCTTCATGTCTCTTCTACATCAACATGTGTCCCCTCTTCTTCATGTCTCTTCTACATCAACATGTGTCCCCTCTTCTTCATGTCTCTTCTACATCAACATGTGTCCCCTCTTCTTCATGTCTCTTCTACATCAACATGTGTCCCCTCTTCTTCATGTCTCTTCTACATCAACATGTGTCCCCTCTTCTTATGTCTCGTCTCTTCTACATCAACATGTGTCCCCTCTGTGTAAAGAGACTCTGAAAGTTTCAGGAACAAAGATTCTCTCTCTTTTTGTCCTGATCCATTTATATAAAAACCTGTCTGAAAATGAGCTGATCAGATTTCGGCCACTTTATGATGTCATAACGATTAACCATCGTGTAACCATTAGCCAATCACCAACCAAGGTAACCCCCCCCCACCTTATCACCTGAATCTCCTCCTAGAGCACCACTAGGCTCTTTCACACCGGAGTACTTTTCCCCAGGAATAGTTCCGATATTTCCTGGGATTTGCATTCACACCAAAAAAACCTGGAACTAGAACTTTTTTTGCGAACCTTTTCACCCCTTTTTAGTGCCTGCTAGAGAGCAGGGACTTTCCTGGGGAGAAAAAGGTTCCAATTTCTGATTGGCTGGGGGAATTGCAAACCACACCCCGGAAAACTCAGAAAAGTTTTGTGAAGCCGCCATTTTATTTGCTCGCATTAGCATTATTAGCATTAGCCCAGCGCACAAACGCAGAGAGACTCAGAGAGATGAGGAGGTGTCGGCGTTCTGGTGATTTACTCGGAAGGCTTCAGTAGTTCGCTGCTGGTAGTCCCAGCTGCTTCTACTGAAGCCAGTACCCAACTCCGGGAAGTTGTTTGCGGCCTGCCAGTAAACCCAAAGCAGAAGAAGAAGAAGAAGTGACGTCAGCGGCTTCATTTGCCTAATCCTCCCTCAGGGACATATTCCAGTGTGAACGCGATTTACTAGATAGTTCCAGGAAATAAAAGTTCCGGGGGAAAGTACTTGGTGTGAACGCGCCTTTTGTGTTCTTTTTAACCAAATCTCTCTCAGAGGGGCGTGGGGAGGGGCTCCTTATTTTCATCTAAAGTAACAGACAGAGAATCAGCACTTTTGAAACAGGGCTGAAACAGAGATGGGATGCTGCAATGATCTGTTTGGTGTTTGGAGCCAAACACTTCAGAAACATGTTTTGTATATATCTGAGACCTATACTATATTGATGAAAAACAGTATAATAGGAGACCTTTACATTTTGACTAGTTAAACGTGTATTAATGCCTCCTTAGATACACGCAATCCCTTTGCGCTCCTCCTGGGTGATGACCTGTGCGTACGCCCCCTCTGGGAACTACGTGGCCTGCGGAGGCCTGGACAACATCTGCTCCATCTACTGCCTGAAGACTCGCGAGGGCAACGTGAGGGTCAGCAGGGAGCTACCTGGCCACACAGGTGAGAAACATGGCGCTCTAAAACCCACTTCTCCTGGAGTTCAACCCTCCCTGCGAGTCAAATTGATGCGATGTTTCAGTAGAGCGAGCAGCAGTGCCTCGGCCTCGTGGGAAAGCTCCGCTCCCAAAACCCCTAAACAATGAAGATTTAATTTACATGGTTAATTAATCGCAGGGCAGCGGCATCTTAATGAGCTGAGACATCAACTCCCGTCTGCGAGACTCCACTGTGACACTGTAGCTGCTGAACGTCATTCACAAAATAGGTTGTGACTTTATATCAAGATGACGCTGCAATTACCTATTTGTAAAGAATTTGAAAGGTTTTTAAAATATGTAACACTTTCTAAGTCCATTATACAGTATGCACATACTTAAAATGACTTGTAATCTGCTTATAGCACCGTATAATTATAGTAATTAGCACTCATATGTTCTCTTACTGTGTTATAACAATAATCATAAAGCATTTAAGATTCAAGTTGTATAATACGTTATAACTGCGGGTCACACATTGCCTTTTTGTGCATGCTTTAGTGTTAAAATGTATTTCTAAGAGCAATTATATTAACATTACATTTGATTAAAATAGTGATTAATGCATCATAAAAAGACGCCAATGTTTTACAACTATGGGAATTATAATATGCTATTAAAAAACGACCAGCAACAATAAAGACCAATGAAACAGATTCTCTTGGTGCTCATAGTCTTCGAACGACCGTGCTCTTTGAGGGAAAGACTGTGTTATTGTCATGAAGTATCGGGTGTCAAGATCAACAAAACAGAAAGCTCAATAACCAACTCCATCATAAATAAATAATTTGATGGTTTGATATAAATGCAGGAAATGACATTCACTTTTCCCCCTAATGTTTTGTACAATCAGTGTACTGTTACATCATATTCCTATTTCATGGTTATTGTATTACAGTAGCTTCCACTCAACTATCAACTACCCTTAAAGAGGACATTATGTTAGTGTTCAGGTTCATATCAGTATGTAGTGTCTCTACTGGGACATGTCTCCATGCTCTAATGTTCAAAAAGCTCTTTATTTTTCTCATACTGCCTGTGCTGCAGCACCTCTTTTCACCCTCTGTCTGAAACCAGAGCCCAGTCTGCTCTGATTGGTTAGCTGGCCGGCTCTGTTGTGATTGGTCAATTGCTTAGAGATGTCCCGCCCCTTAGTCTATCAGGTACAATGTGTGGGAGCGATAGAGTGGCGAAGTCACGCCCATCTACTTCCGACCCATGGGACCTTATTTCTGAAAAATTGTGTATTGAAGTCAATGGGGAGAGAAAACGTATCTTTCGATCCCATTTGAATTGTGCCACGAATTACACATATGATGTTTGTCAATCTTAAAAAATCATTTCCATGTCTTAAAACTGTTGAAATATAAGACTATGAAAAATACGCAACTAGAAAGACTACAAATCCTAGATTCTCGGTCCTGCATGCTGGCTCTTACGGAACCGACTAACTCCCCTTGTGTGTATGCACAGCTCTCAACATGCCTAGACTTGGAGTGATTTTCACCTCGTTTAATACTTTTCACTTCATTCTGAAAGAAAGAGGTGAAATGTGCTAACATAACGGCCATCTTGGTGTTGGTGACGTATGCAAGACCAGAGATGTAGTTCATTGAGCGCTTCACACAAAAAAAAGTGTTACTTCACAGTTTTACGACACATTTGTATTTTTTTGACTTGCAAAATTATCTTTTAAATTGACAAACATCATATGTGTAATTCGTTGCACAATTCAAACGGGATCAAAAGATAATCTTTCTCTCTCCATTGACTTCAATACATGATCTTTCCAAAATAAGGTCCCATGGAGGTCCACCGGAAAGGGAGGGACTTCGCCACTCTATAGCCAATAGAAGCACGAGGGTTAGATAGAACAGAAGTAAACAGTTAACAAAGGAGTCCAATGGAGGCGTTTCAGACCATTTACATGCACAACAAATAGCACACTACAGGAAAGGGAAAAACCCCCAAAAACTCACCCTGACGCCTGTCCTCTGTTCTCTCAGGTTACCTGTCATGTTGCCGTTTCATCGATGACAATCAAATCATCACGAGTTCAGGAGACACCACCTGGTGAGCCACAGAGATTTAAAAAGCAAATACATATGTTCTTCTACTCTGCTCAGTGTCTAACTCTCTGCCCTCTCTCTGCCCCAGTGCACTGTGGGACATCGAGACGAGTCAGCAGACCACAGTGTTCTCGGGCCACAGTGGAGACGTCATGAGTCTGTCTCTGTCGCCCGACCTGCGCACCTTCGTGTCCGGAGCCTGCGACGCCTCGGTCAAACTGTGGGACATCAGAGACAGCATGTGCCGGCAGACCTTCACGGGCCACGAGTCGGACATCAACGCCATCTGTGTGAGTGTGGAAGGGCAGTGGCCAAACTACAAATTGTCTAAATACCTTCTATTTTTATTGTTTATCCTTATCTTATATAAGTTCAGTTCATTTATCATGGGAAGTAGTGTTTAATCAAACAATTCGGGTCTTAAAAATCCCCCAAATCAAAAGATATGCTATATTTAATACAAAATATGAAAGATTGACTAGAGCTGCATATTTAAAAACATCCCCTCGAGTCGGACATCAACGCCATCTGTGTGAGTGTGGAAGGGCAGTGGCCAAACTACAAACTTTTTTCAAGATTCAAGGCTTTTATTGTCATGTGTTCATAGCTACAGTGTGGATATATCAATGAAAATCTTAGGTCACAGGCTCGTCCAACAGTGCAACACAATAACACAGATAATAGTGCAAGTAAATCAAATCAAATAGAATATAATAGAAATTGTGCAGAATAGTCTATATACAGTAATTGGAATATTGATATAAGTTGCAGACAGATTAATGTTATGGATGTTCTTTCAAAAGTTCAGGTGTCAGTCTTATGGCCTGTGGGATGAAACTGTCCCTTAGTGTGCTGGTTTTAATCCGGATGCTGCGGTACCTAACCGTAAAAACGGTAAACTCTCTAAATACGTACTATTTTTATTATTTATCCTATTCACTTATCATGGGAAGTAGTATTTAATCAAACAATTGGGGTCTTAAAAATCACCATACATCAAAATATATGCTACATTTAATGCAAAATGAAATACATTTATTTATTTATTCAAATGGTAGAAATGGCCGTTTTCAGCTTCTGAAATATTAGGATTTCCTGCTTTTCTCTGTTTTATTTCATTTTAAACACATTATCTTTTGGTTTTGGACTGACAACATATTTAAAAACATCACTTCGAGTCGGACATCAACGCCATCTGTGTGAGTGTGAAAGGGCACGGTGGCTCTGTGGCCAAACTGTCTCAATACGTACTATTTTTATTATTTATCCTTATCTTATATAAGTTCAGTTCACTTATCATGCAAAGTACTATTTAATCAAACAATTGGTGTCTTTAAAATCACCATAAATCAAAAGATATGCTACATTTAATACAAAATATGAAAGATTTACTAGAGCTGCAAAGATAAATTAACCCATCAATAAGTCAATTGGTGGATTAAACCATTTATTTGATAACACATTGGTCGTTAATGTATTTTTTTTAAAGTCCAAATGGTAGAAATAGCTGTTTTCAGCTTCTGAAATATTAGGATTTCCTGCTTTTCTCCGTTTTCTTTTACGCAGGTGGCTCTGTGGCCAAACTGTCTAAATACGTACTATTTTTATGTATCCTTATCTTATTTACGTTAAGCTCACTTATCATGGGAAGTAGTATTTAATCAAACAATTGGGGTGTTAAAAATCACCATGAATAGTTGACCCGTTAATTAGTCAATTGGTAGATAGAACAATTTATTTGATAACATTTTGGTCATTAAAATATTTTTATTAATGTCCAAATGGTAGAATTAGCTTTTTTCAGCAATTCAGATTTCCTGCTTTTCTCTGTTTTATTTAATTTAAAACACAATATATTTTAGTTTTGGACTGACAACACATTTAAAAACATCACCTTGGACTCATTAATGGTCTTTAATTTGCCATTAAAAAAACAATTAAGCCACAAAGTTGATTGAAAAACGAACTAAGGGAATGACATATTGACAGAAAATAAATAAAAACAATATTAAGACATATAGTTTCATCCAGCCAATTAAATATCTAAATATATACGAGATAAAAAAAGAAAATAAGCTGCCTTGTGCTGTCTATTAACTAACATTAGAAGCCTGGTATCCTTAGTGGTCTAAAGTGTCCCTCCTGTCCTCCGTCTGACTCTCATAGCAACAGAGCAGTTCCAGGATTTGTCTCGCAGTGACGTCACACGCTGTCTTGTCTCCAGCTTTGGGGGGGGGGGGATTTAAACTAGGAGCACGCCAGAGGATTAACAAGATTATCAATTAACACCATATCTGAACATCCTGACTCCATCTGATTCTGGACGGATGCACCACAAAGGTTACAGCCCATACATGACAGGTGGAAGGATCCACAATAAAACATATTTCTGGTTTTAAATCTCTCCAATTGATCAGATTCAGTCTGAGAGCAGAGACGCGAGTAGCTAAGGATAATCGTAGAACAAGGACTTACCTACTTGTCATCTCTTGTTAAGAGTATTTCCGTAGGCCCAATTCCAAACGGACCCCCTACACACTCCCCCAAACTCTGTCTGTACTCACACTCACAGCTGATGAGGCTCCTTCTTTGAGGCGAGGCGTTGGCAGAAACAGGAAATGTTGTAACTTTTCACAACAACGGTTAATAATCAGCATCACCTGGACAAAAAAAAGTATTTATTTAATATATTATTTGTAATAAAACTCTAAATCTATAGTGGTATTTTCATTTTTTGTAAACTTATTTTCATTTTTTACATGATGTTTACGAGCTGATTGGTTTTTGCGACGGTCCCCTGCATTCAAATGCAAACTTTTCTAGATTAGACACAAATAAATGATTGTAAGTAAAACAAATTAAATAAATGAAAATACAATTTCATCTTTAAATTTCAATATCTTATCTTATTTTCAGTTTACTATTAATTTTTGCATAGAACTAATGGTCAGGTGGTTAAGTCAGGACCAATGCAGACTTCCCTCTCCACAGTAGTGGGTTTCTAACAGCACTTGTAACAATGGAGGTATAAAGAGAGCTGGATATACAGTTGGAGGCGGGACCTTGTTCATTAAAGTACCATATCTGGGCCAATAGAGCACTTGAGTTTTCCTCAAGCTCCGCCTTCGAACTCCTGCTCTCGGGCTCAGTCAAATGTAAGCAGAGGTAAAATAACTCCGGATACAGATTTTAGCACATTTTACAACTTCAAGGCCCTAATAGTACTAATAGACTCTGTAGTTGAGTATGCAAAAAAAAAAGTATCAATTGAGACACTACAGACGTCTCTTTCTCAATGTAAGTCAATGGGATAAAGTATTTGGTCCAATGACGTAACGGGCAGACACGGAGGTTGTAGTTCCACCGTTTGACCACTACAAAGATTGTAATCTGTGCACTAGCTAAAGGGCTTGGCGCGTCCATTTGGAATTGGGCCTTTTCCTCTCTTCCTGCTTCTTATCCTTCTTCTTCTTCTCCTCCTCCTCAGTTCTTTCCCAACGGCAGCGCCTTCGCCACCGGCTCGGACGACGCCACCTGCAGGCTGTTCGATCTCCGTGCCGACCAGGAGCTCAGCCTCTATTGCCATGACAACATCATCTGCGGCATCACCTCCGTGGCTTTCTCCCGCTCCGGCCGCCTGCTGCTGGCCGGTTACGACGACTTTAACTGCAACATCTGGGACGCCATGAAGGGAGACAGAGCAGGTGGGTGACAACGAGTAGCTCTAAATCCGGGTGTTTTTTCACCGAGGGCCACATACTGAAAAATATACGAAGGGCTGGGCCGCTCACTCGAGGTATATCGCCTCATAGGTTCAGTTATAAGTTAAGTTAAGTTAATAATCAAATGTAGGTAAATGATGCTTGTGAGTGCTGGCAGCTCATCCCTTAAAACAGAAGCCTCAGATTGATTATAATAAGGAAATGTTAAAATGTTTCTAACTTTAATTGACTGAATTTATTTGAAAAGTGGTCATGAATACTACTGTGTAATATATTTTTACATTTATATTCAAGAAGTACAATATAAGACAAGCACAAGTTTCATTTGTGGGTCATATTCCATTTTACCTTTTGAACTTGCTGAGGGCCGATTCAAGATGGTCCGCGGGCCGCGTTTGGCCCCCGAGCCGTAGTTTGGATACCCCTGCTCTAAAGTAATACTTTAAATGTAGAGGCACTCCGTTTAGACGTCAACAATATTAGTAGTTTTACAAAAGTTAGTATACTGTGTTTCTTTTTGCAACTTGCATCTTAAAATCGTCTAAACTAGGGTTGTAAGAGGGACATGTAACACATTGTACACTAACCCCCTAATCCCACCAGGAGCGTCTGCGCTGCGTTGTGCTGCGGCTGCGGCGTTTTTAGCGATCGCGGCCACTCTAGTCAATGGGTGCTATTCCACCAGACCCACTGTGCCGCACTGCGCCGCGGCTCGAAGCGTCCCAGAAGCTCCTCGCCGCAAGGAATTTCTAAAATATAGGATGAATCCTATTTTTGACGCAGCGCGGCGCAGCGAGCGGCACAGCGCGGCGCAGGCAGGAAGTGGAACATTCATCCAACAACTGCGAGGCTGCACACACGACGCTCCGCTTCCGCAACGTTTTGAAACGCGCCTGGTGGGTTATGAGTATGACGCAGGAGGAGGTCGCAGCGCAGCGCAGCCGCAGCGCAGACGCTTCCGGTGGGATCAGGGGGTAACTCTGTTTCTGACCTTCACCTGCAATTATTTACTCAAATACCAAGTAAGAGTACACCTGGTGCCCTCTTTTGATTTTATTTGTTTTTTAATTAACCACGAGTGGCATAACGTCATCATTCGAAGCCAAACAACGTTATCACGACTGTAAGAGAAACTAATGTCTGTTTAAAAGGCGTCTAAGAGGATTAAAGAGGCCCTGTTATACTTTTGGGGTTTTCCCTTTCTGTAGTGTGGCATACAGGTTTTAGTGCATGTCAATGGTCCCAAAGCTCTAACTAATATGAACCCGTAAATGAGCGTTATATGTCCTCTATATGGAAACAAAGGAAGGGAGCTGTGACAGTAATGTTTTCTACCAGTTGATTCACACGTCTCGAGCCTTGTTTTGTAACAAAATGTGTTGCAAGTTAACGCAGTTCTAAACACAAGGTCGCTATGTGTTCAAAAGCGTTTCATCGCAGTCTTGAGAGCAAAACATTTTAGAGTAACAAGTGTTCTTTTGTCTGTCCCCGTCCCCCCTGCAGGGGTCCTGGCCGGCCATGACAATCGTGTGAGCTGTCTGGGTGTGACGGATGACGGTATGGCGGTGAGCACCGGGTCCTGGGACAGCTTCCTCAAGATCTGGAACTGAGCTGTGCACACCGACAGCAACACACACACACACACACACACACACACACACACACACACACACACACACACACACACACACACACACACACACACACACACACACACACACACACACACACACACACACACACACACACACACACACACACACACACACACACACACACACACAGCTCCCTTCTTTGGACACAGTTTGCACCCTGTATTCACTGTATGTAAGATTCAACAGACAAACTGCAACATTGTACTGTACATAATATATATGACTTAGGTATGACTTTATACACACACGCGCACACACACACATGCACACTACCTACAGCTGATTTAAGTAAAGACCCGCACATGCACACACACACACACACAAACACACACACGTATTCTGTAAAATGTAAAAATGTGACAAAAACAGTTGAATCTTCAGTTGCTTAAATAAAAAAAAAACACAAATGCCACTATGACCTGAAGCCTTTTAACACGTCTAACACGCTCATTCACACACACACACACACACACACACACACACACACACACACACACACACACACACACACACACACACACACACACACACACACACACACACACACACACATAGTTTTTCCTGCGAGACACTGCTCCTCCAGTTAAACAGGGGAGAAGACGTTATTGGACAATTCTGTCTTTGTTTACAATGAAGTCCAAAATGCACTTCAGACAAAACATTTCTGTACTATTTTTGTCTCGGTAGCACATGTATCTCTGCGACACTAATGTGAAGGAAGTGAGGAGAGAGTCATGTGAGTCCATCGACACTGAAAAAAGAGGAGAATATCAACTCTTATTTTCATCTGGCTCGAGACATTATGTAGTCACTGTTTTTATAGATACGTACCCCCCACACACAGTACATCTGCTCTACTTGTTTTATTTTTTACACTTATTTTATTCATGTTCTCCCTGTGTGCCTCAGATACACTTTAAGGATTATTAATAGAGAATATTGATACAGTTAAATTAACATTAAAAAAAAGATCTGAGATTCAAAAAAGGTGGGTGAAAAAATAAAAGCATTATAAGACACATCTTAATAAAGCAGGAGCCAGTATTCATACTTTGACTTTGTCAATGTATTATCTGGACTTTACGATGGTATAATTGTACATAATATTAATAAATAAATAGCCTCTCCTGCCAGTTATCGTGGTTTTCTTTATTCACACACTGTGGAAGTGATGAACTCGATGTGAAGAGGTACAGTTTGGCCATTTGATATGACTACACATGATATGTCTGGTACTGGATTTGCAACACACACATTGACCTGAAAGGTTCCCACGCTATTTAGAAACTATACAATTGGTAATTTTACAGCATAGGTCAATTTTGTCAATTTTAATTAGTTATTTTTATTTTACAATAACACAATTTTTTTTTGATATTATGGAAAAGAGGGGTCATTTGAAATGTTGTCGTTAAATTAATTAAAAAATATCCTATTAACCTTTCTGTTTTACTCAAATGTGACCAGTTTCTTCATGTTTTTAAGGTGTTATTTCATCCAATTGCCACAAAAAACAAAACATGGATGGTTCCATATTATGTTATTTGAAATACTGGTCACGGGTTGGGGATGTTTAATTCAAATTCATCTGCTGTACATTTTGAAAAATGATTAAAGTTTTGCCTTTTATAAATTATATTATTAGGTTTAATTTGATTTAAATTAATTCTATTGACCATCAATTCCTACATAAAAAAAAGAAGCTTTAGGTAATAAGATTTGGGTGATTATGTATTCTACTTGGTTTATAATGCAAGGTTAAAACCCATGAGGGAAACAAGTAAAAAAGGCAAGAAAACACAAAGTTGGAATATTGTTAATAAAGTTGGTTTCTATTGCAGAAAGACAACGTGGTAAGGTCACACTGATGGTTTTTGCCAAATCATGAATCAATGTTTAACAGACTAATAGTTTGGGTAAGGATCATTCAAATCCAATGAATCTTTATTGGCATGACAATATCAAAAACACAGTGTTGCCAAAGCACATACAAGGTGGTACAACAATAATCACAATATTATGTAATTAAAAACAAGGAAGGAAGCTGAACATAACTGATGGATATTATTAAACAAATCAAAATTATTGTAATAAAAATAATATCAATGTAATGTACATAACTGTGTGTAAATGATGTGTGTGTGTGGTCTCCACTGCTCAGATTGTGGCAGGTAAAAACAGGATTGGCATTTTTAGACGTCTGTCATGTGTTCAGATTCAGGATGTTTGCTCTTAGATTAGGGGACATATTTAGTCCGGACTGGCTGCAGTTTTGTGTATTGATAATAATACAATTCATAATTCACTTTGTGTTTTTTTTACCTTCTGATTGAAGTGTCTCATGCACGATGTGCAGATTCAAGTGTTTGTACCTCCAGCCGCCAGGGGGCGCAGCAGCTACCTCGTCTCCTCAGCTTCACAAACAGGATAAAATACGTTTTACATCAAAAAAGAAAACAATAACATGTACCTTAACTTTGAGGCTATTCATTTATGTTAAAATAAGTGGACATATTCACAGTCTTCAAAGCAAAGTGCACATAAAGTAAATGATACACATCCAGTGATTTGAGCACCATCATGTGGTTCAACACTAGCGGACATTTCTCATTTCATTACTATTGTATTAAAGGCACTAAACACCAGAGTTGGGAATTAACTAAGTACATTTACCGTAGTACTGTACTTAAGTACAATATTGAGGTATTTCGTACTTTACTTGAGTATTTCCATGTTATGCTACTTTGTACTTCTACTCCACTACAGTTCAGCGGTACATGGTGTACTTTTACTCCACTGCATGTATTTAATAACTTTAGTTACAGATCTGGATGAATGATGTGAAATATAATCAAGTGTTAAATCAGACTTTAGTTCCACCTGGAGTAAATTCACCAGCTACCCTGCAGTAGTTATTAAGCTGCACCTTTACCAGCTTTGAGAACACTTTAATGATCAATCATTATGAAACACATCATATATATTATTCTGAAATGGACCTGCACAATGACTACTTTTGGTACTTAAAGTATATTTTAATACCAATACTTTTTTTTACTTTTACTTGAGTAACATTTTGAATACAGGACTTTTACTTGTAACAGAGTATTCCTACACTCTGGTACTTCTACTTTTACTCAAGTACAAGATTACATTACGTCACTTGTTAGATCTGAGTACTTCTCCCACCTCTGCTGAACACCAGTGGTAACCTCGGAACAGTCACTTAATTATTCTGCTTTATTTCCTTTTCTCTAATTGTATCTAAAGGTCCAAGAACAATTACCTTTAAAAATAGAAAAACTGTAATCAATACAGGAAATCTCTTGTGCAGGGCCTTTTATTTTGGAGAGTCAATATGAGCCTCCACAAAGAAATGTAGTTAAAGTCAGACATGTAATGAACATTTGTCATAGTGCAAAGAAAGGAGACCAAGACTGATGAGATTAAGGTATTTTATTTTTCAAACAGTTCTGTATTAAGACATGAATTCATTCAACACAATCTTTTGAAAGTTTTAAAGTTTATCAGTCTATGAAATACAATCTGGAGTTAACCTCTCACAAGTAACACGGACGCACGCACACACACTAAAACATTGCTAAGATGTTTATCGTCTTTTAAAAAAAGAGAAAGGATTTTGAAAAGAATGATAAGTATTGTAGTTCTGTCTAAAGATCGTTTTAGAGCTCCCAAAGTTTGATCCGCCTCCTAATCCATTCACACCTGATTGATTAGAAATATAGGGAAGAGTGCCTCATCAGAATATTAGCCATCATCTATCCGTAGTTTGTAAAGGCAGTTTCTTGGATTCCATTATAGCATGAGAAGAAAAAGCATCCCAGCAGAGATAAGCAATTGTTTCTTGAGAAAAGTAAAGTACAAACGTCGATAACGAGCAACACACAATCCAGCCTACATTCAGTCCGCCAAAGGCCACTGAAGAACCACTTCCTGTAGGTCACACTGAGATGGACAGCCATTTTGTTTGATTTGTTCAAATGCTTGTATTGCTTATTTAAAATAAATGTCATCATCTGCCCCCCAAAGAGGATGTTGTACACCTACAAGCCACGTTACATCAGGTCGTGCTTCAATGACACTCAACTAAAGACTTGTGAGGGTCTTTTAATGGCTCTTGGCACAAAATGAAATAGCACTTTTACACCTTAAGGTGCTTTTAGGAGAATCCACAACCACAAACTATTCTTCTGTCTTTCAAACTGCAACCAATGATTGTGCAGCACAATAAGACAGCAAGTGTTATATTTGGAATTAAATTCAGACACAATTATCTCAACCAATAACTAAACGTATATTAATTTACATTTGACTAGATGATTTAACCACTGTAGTTTGAGCAAGTGCTTGTATTGAGATCATTTCTGTTTTCATTAAGTCAAATTATGATTTCTCAAAGCTTGTGCAGTTAAGTACATATGACATAATGCAACATGAGAATGTGTTTTAGATAACTGCACTGATTTTACACATCAATGCTGGTGAAAATCTGGTGACTACATTGCCCACAATGCAACATCACTGCCATTATTTTGATGGGATATCTTGGTCTGGGCAGATCAAGTCTTTCCAACTCAACACCCCCAACACTTCAGCCCTAAACAACTGACTGATCAGTTGAGGTGGTTTATCAGACTTCACATGTGTTGTATTGTTGTAAATATACTTCATAATGTTTCATTTATTTTTTTGGGGTATTATTGGCTGCCACTCCACTACACTGAGACTACACTCCTGTTTGCTCTGTGCAATAAACACTTTGTATTTTTTGTTCCAGAGAGTGCCTTTTAGAGATAAAGTGTTGAAAAGAGGAGATAGAGGGGAAGACATTGCCTGAAACTTCCCCTGCTTTGGGACAAATGTAGGAATTTTCTGATGAGCCAGAAAATAAAAATAATAATAATTTCAATATGCTGTTTGACTCCACAAGACGCGCTAACATATTGATGTGCAAAATCATTGGAGTTACCCTTTAAGATCTTTCATACCTGGTGACAAAACACATACAATTAACATAGTCAATAAATCCTAATTGTCTTTGTCTGTAACTGTCGCTAATTGATCGATGCAATCCTCACGTGCCAAATGCTTCCGATTTTTATACAATACCAAAACCCAATCGCCTCCCGCCAAGGGACGTCCCGCCCCTCACATCACAGTCTGAGCATTTTAACATCCTGTCAACCTCACAAAGGCAAATTACACCAGAGGCCAGAACCGATCTGCACGTCCGCCCGAGTGTCTGAATCACAGCTGGGAGGGAGAAGACAGCAGACAGTATTTTTATACGTCTATATAAGTGAACAGAAACGCTGCAGTTACTGACAGCCTACGCACACACAGCTGTCTACTCGATTCACTAGAACTACTAATAGAAGATGAATTAGGAATAAAGAAAACACCACCTAATTCTAGCTTTGATCTCTCTGCCGTAAAATACATTGTGCTTTGATTAATAGAGCGGTACACATTTTAATATAAATACAAATTTGTCTCATAGATGTACATTCACTTTGATTTCTCAATATGGACTAATTTACATATCTTATAAAATAGGCTTCTCAGAATATAATCAAGATACTTTCCCCACTACCAAGATTACACGATCAACATCTCGACTCGTTTTCTGAGCAGACGTCACTCACAGGGCTGCATCGATCTGAGTTGACTTCACACAACACACGTATGGCTTTTTACTAGGCGGGCTCCCACTGTGAGTATATCCGTTACACTGGATTCATTTGACATGTGTTAAATATTTGTTATTGCCACTTTCTGTTGTTTTTTTAGGTAATATACAAGGTGCCAAAAAGCAACTCAAGAACATCAGCAGGATATTCTGGATTTGACCTAAGTGCACTTAAATGGCACATGACATAAATCATATTGAAGGAGCAAATATAGCTGTGCCTCTTCTTCATGGGATTTCAAGTAAGAGACAAGTGGGGCGGGGGCTCATAACCCATCCTTAAACATCTCTTCTTCCCAACTCCAAGGCACTGCTTTGACTGTAAACATGGCAGATTGATAAAAAGTGATGATGTCTTTGTACCATAAAAAGCACGAGTGCCAGAGCTCCCGGTGGATTGTAGTGGTGACATTTTGAAATATAAGTCATGGCACGCAACAGATATTCAAGAATAAAAACACTTTTGCTAAAAAGGGGAAAACAACTTTGATACAGTACTACATACTCTATTTCAATGGCTTACATGCACACCAAGAATCTGTTGGAGATATATTTATAAATGTATGTTTACAGAAGTGAAAGTGCTTTCCATGCCCATATACAGTTTGTTTTTATAATCTATCCACCATAAAATTGAACATCTATTTATATAATCTTTGCTTAAACTTCCTCTGCAAACTTTCTTTGTGCCACTATTAAATATATCTTCTTTCCCACTGATCACTAGCC